GTCTGCTTGGTTCCTCGTGAGAACTCAAAGGCAACCTTAGCAATTCACTTACGAGCAAGGAAATTAAAAATTATCATCATCACTATCACCTACAGTGAGTAATTTATCATTCTTGCTCCTCACCAGTATCATGTTCCAACAGTGAGTGGCTACAACAAATACAATTAGACAGCTGGCCACAGAAGTGGGAGATAATGTGCTTTTGATGGAGTTTATCCAAGCATGGAGATGGAATGTTTGTCATCCGTGCAGCGGAGTTGCCGCGTTTTTTATCACAGAGAAAAAGAAGCCCTGGCTATTAAAATCCAACAATTCTGTGTTTTAAAGATCAAGGATCTGGAGCTCACCACAGAGGAGGCTACAGATAATAAATGAGAAGGAGAAATCCCTCTTTGTAACGTAGTGGAGCAGTATTTCCTTTGCTCAGAAATCAGGCATTCAAGGTGTGTTTAACTGTGGCACTCAAATCCAGATTTCCAACTTCCAGCTTAAAAAAAATTCAGTTTCTCACCTCATGTGAGAACCAAAGACTCCTTATGTTAATACTTATCGTTGGCTCCCAAGTGGAAGACTGGACATTAGGAAATGAAACTATCTTCATATTTAAGAAGAATTCGGTCAGAATAAATTTCTCCAGTCACCTTAACTTCCATTTCCTTCCTGAAGGTTTTAACACGTCAGTCACGTCCTCTGGTTCATTATCCTTCTTTCACCCCCTTCCTCCCTCCCACTTTTTATGCACATCCCCTGCTCTTTGACAACATCTCCTGGGAGCAATGAAGAGATACTGCCACTTTCCTCTCAGGGGATATTGTTATTCAGCGAGGAAAGATCAACCTTGATGGACTCACAGGGGAACTGCTCGCAAACAAAAGGGAAAGTTTGTCAATTGATTTCTATACCGAGGGTAAATCACCATTATATTTTATCTCAAAAGCTCACACAGTGATCAACTTGGAATACAATTAATGGAGTATTTTTCTAGCAGCATCTACTGACTGATATTAGCCAGATGTCTCATTAAAATCAGCACTGACAAACCTTAGCTCTTTACCAGCAAAACACACTTTTGCAGCCTAATTAAATTTTTTTTTTTTTTTTGGCCATTATGTTTGTAAGACTGAAATCAAGTCAACTTGCAAAAAAGTGCTTTGGAATGTTTTCGTGTATTGATTCCATGCAACCGTTCTGTGCTTTGAAAAATCCTCAATCTTTGAAAGCTAAAATAATGATAAATAAAATTAATGCTGGAAGACACTACTTTGTGTCAAACCACGCCAGGAATAAAGAAAAAAATCAACAGAAACAATATGTGCTCTGAAAAAAGCCCTAACTAAACCCCTCCATAACTTTTGAAAGACAGAGCATCACATACAAGGTCATATTTTAAATATTTTTTTTTTTGCTCAATCATTTCATATTTCTCAGGGTTTTTATGATTTTTTTGCAGGATCATCTGCAATACACTCAAGATGCACCGACAGCAAGACACGAGGCTGATCTCCTACAAGCACGACCTAATACTCTGATAGCTCCTTTTTTTTGGTCCTACAAAGGTGTGAGAGTAATTTCAAATAATTTATAGGTGGGAGGACAGAGAGATCAATGTGCCAGTGCTGTGCTCTGGGGTTTTGTGAACTGCCTGGTTTTTCTGTTTCACACAAGACCATCACGACGTCCGGGCTTCACATCCTCACGACCAGAAACAGCCCTGAGGAAGAACCAAGGACAGATTTTAGAGGAATTTAACATCTTTTTAACATGTGCAGGTAGTGATAGGATAAGGGGGTTTTAAACTAGGAAAGATTTAGATTAGATATCAGGAAGAAATTCTTACTGTGAGGGTGGGGAGGCCCTGGCATAGGTTGCCTGGAGAAGTTGTGGCTGTCCCATCCCTGGAAGTGTCCAAGGCCAGGTGGGATGTGGCTCTGAGCAACCTGATCCAGTGGGTGGCATCCCTGCCCGTGGCAGAGGAGTTGGAACGAGATGACCTTTGAGTCCCTTCCAACCCAAACTGTTGTGTGATTTTGCCACAGAAATGTGAAGGGCAGCCTCTCCCGGCCTGAGGGATCCCGGGGGTGTTCCAAGTCGCGGTCAGAGCAAATGTAACAATGAGTTGGTAAAAAAAACCCCTGCATTATGGTTCTGATTCCTGCCAGCTTTTACAGCTTACTGTCCTGTTACCACAGCCCTGCACTCAGGTTGACTGGAGGAAGCCACAGACCCTACTGTGGCTGCTGCCTCCACAAAGTCCAGTTCCTCAACCATTATTTTACATCCTCCAAACCACAACTCTTTTCTCTGAGTACTTGCTAAATTACTTCCCAGCTGCTGCAAAAACGAGTTCAGCAGCAGCAACCCTGCATTCCTTCCATGCTGCTGACACATTTCAATGTAAAGAATGTCTACCTCACGCTGATCTGCAACAGGATCCCCAGAACCATCAACAGATCAACGTGCACCCAAGTTTTCCACTTTGTTTGGTTTTTAACTACAGATTACTCCACAGGGAGTTCCAGTTCTCATGGTAACACTGGTCTGATATCAGTTTTGCTGTTGATGGCAACAATGAATAAGACAACCAAACCTGTTTCCACACCTCTGTGGCTGAGAAAAAGCTGATTTGAAATGAACTTCAGGCTGTGAGTTTAAAAAAAACCCAGATATATACAAGCATATAAGGATGGATTTCCAAATTGCCATTTTGGTGGAATATTTTTTTGTAAGTAAAACAGAAATATTTTTAAATATTTGTATTTAAAAAAAACCAAACCTGCAAAAATCATAAGAGACAAGTACAAAAGCATAGAATTGTGGGGAAATATAAGCAACTTCCTCCTTTTGTGCAGAAAATGAAAAGCCAGCAGAAAAACAAAACACTTATGCAAACAAAGACAAACATTAAATATTATTTTCAAAGGAAAAATTGCAATCTTAAAGCATCTCCTCAAAAATTCTCAACACAAATAATGGACTTTTATTGTTCATTTACTGCAAGGTTAGGCAGCCTGATATGATGGATGAACTGTCAACTCTCAACTAAACTTCTACAATCCATCACAGAAGGACTGGAAATTTCACTCAAAGTGTCAATATACCTAAATGATGAAGTGCAAAATACTTTACAGCATTCTGATCATTTTTTAGAACCTGCATTGGCCGCAAAATTTCAGAAACACGGCTCTTCCCCCACTTCCCTCTCCTTCTCCCTGGAAGTCATAAAATGCAGGTATACATCTTGATTTATAAGTCAGTGATGCCACAGAATCACAGAAGAGAAATGAAGTTTCTGTAAGAGTCTGGTGCTGGGGAAAACAGCGTTTATAAAATAAGCTATTTTACTTTACCCAAACATCAGAGACCGCCAAGATTTTGTGAAGATTTCTGATGAATCAATTATTTAAATGTGGCCATACTAAGAAAATTAAACCAGGGCTGCTGTGGAGCTTGATCTCAAGTCAAATCTGACCCTGCCTTGAGGCAACTAGAATTATCCTATGATTCTATGACAACTAAAAACAGCAGAGGGTTTGTTTTTTTTTTGTGGACACACGATAAAACATGCAGATATCCATTTAATAAAACCCAAGATGTTATTGTGTCTTTACTTAATTTGGTGATAATTGATAAATAAATATGAAGTGTCTGTACTTCAATTTGAAATTGTAACAATGATTTAAACTAGAGGCAGGGGAAAATTTCACTTTATGACACCAACACTTACTCCACCAAAAGAAGAAAGCTGTGCACCATAACTAAGTCAAATCATAAAGGTATCCTCACGGAGGCATCAATCTAAACACTTTTGAATGTTCATGTTGGAACACCTAATTTATTTCAGCTTTAAACACACTCCTAACATCTTTATTTCGGAAGTCACTCACACCCTCCCAGTGAAGTATGTTAAATAAAAATATTTTGGTATCTTCCCTGACTTGTACTTCAAAAATGGAACACAAAATACACAGCACAAATTGCATGAGCCCCTGCAGAAAAAAAATAAGAGACATGTTCCATTGACCAAAAAAATCAGTGTTTCTGTTTTCTCATAACTACCAGATACTGAATGATAAAGAAATGTCACAGAATAAATGTGTATTTATGGGAATTGATACTGAACAGTGTAGATAGACCTTCAAAGAAGTGTTTGAAGTATGCCCTAGTAGGGAGTTTTCATTTAATTCTAAAGCTCAGATTGAAAACTTTCTTTCTTTTCATGTTTAGTAGTGGTTGATAGACAAAAACTCAATTGAGTGATACCACACTCAAGTTTGCTGAGATTCTTCACTCTATTTAATGCAGCATAATCTGTAAAACTAAGATGAATAGCTTGTGTTCACTGTAATTGCAACTCCCCTCCGACCGAATTCCACAGCCTTTCTAGAATTAGTGTTCTGTTGAAGTCAGTCATGTTCATTTACATAAAATGCAAACACTACCTTGCAGACAATAAATAAAACAGACCTAGTAAAAACCCTGGTTATCAGATTCAGATCTAATGCTGCATTTGTTCCCCCCCAGCCTTCACATCCCAAGTTCATGAACCTCCCTGCTGGAGAAGTTGTCCTTGCCATATCAACTGCTGAGTGTTTAATACATTAGCTATAATCTACACCTTTCCCATATCTACTTTGTTTTTTACTAAACTCAGAAAAGCTCTTCTGACAGCAGTGACTGCATCATTCTTGAGCACAGGGGTAAACAACATGTCTGAACAGAAAACTTGTATTTCAGAAAATGGGCTAGAGAACAGAACAGAATGATTCTAATGCTAGAGCTCCTTACCCTTCCCTCTCCTCATCTACCTCTATTATCCTGTAACACCATCACTGGAGTTTCACATCTATCTCCTTTTACGGAAAGGGCTCGTTTGACACCTCTGTACTGCAGAAATGAATGCTTCAAGGCAAGGACTGATGATAAATGAAGCATAATTAGTGCAGTGTCTCTCAGCCCAGTGCAATACTGGACCATACATGAAGAAACTAAAACTGTCTTACCGTGCACTTTGTGCTCATTGTAATGCTGAGGGTGAAATCTGAAGAGAATTCCAAGTCTGGAGTGGATGCAGCGTTACAGTCGATGTGCTGTCAAAAAGAATAATAAAACTTTGTCAGTAACAGTGATTAATGTCAATTAAGATCTCCCTCTGGATGAAGGTTGTTCAGTTGCTCCCATAATGGGACAACTTCTATAGGGCAATACTAATTCAGCTCTCACAGAGGGGCCTGGACAAGCTACAGAATTGGGCCTTTCATGAGGTTTAGCAAGACCAAGTGCAAAGTGCTGCACCTGAGGGTGGGGAGGGCCTGGCACAGGTTGCCCAGAGAAGCTGTGGCTGCCCCATCCCTGGAAATGTCCAAGGCCAGGTTGGATGGGGTTCTGAGCAACCCAGTCTAGTGGGTGGCTTCTCTGCCCGTGGCAGGGAGGTTGGAACTGGATGATCTTTAACCCAAAGCTTTCTATGATTCTTCATGAAACAAGCAGCACCTGACCTGAACAAACACACCAAAGTACCTTCTGCAATAATCATAATGATAAATTGGAACATTTTTAAACTTACCCTACAAAATATAGTTCATTTGTTCTGTGGAATGGCTATTGATTAAAACAATTTACCTATAATGCCACTGTTGCTCAACTCATCAATTTTACTGCTTTGCAACGAAACTCCAGCAAACGAGGACACGCATTGATTTTGGGTTATTTTAAAAACCATGACGGCTAATGAGAACAAATGAGCACAAAGCCATTAAGCACAACAGTTATGCTACAGGCTGCATGATGATAACATCTGCTAAGCACACACCTCTGAGCTGGACAGTGACTTCTCATGAACAGCATATATATGAGAGAGAGACATGTCTGCACTACTACCAGTAAAGCATTGTGGTTCTGAAATGACCATGGCTTATAAACTGCACTGGGCATATTTATCTTTAGTTATTGTTATCAACACTCTTCAGGTTAAGATGTTGTTTTTATTTATTTGCTTGCCTAACCAACTGATCACTCACTCACTGCACCATCAAACCTGTCAAATGGCAAACAGTGACTGCCTCAGGTTCTTAATCTCAGTACCTTTGTTTTGTGCACACTCATTCACTAAGGCTGGAGTTTTATCTTCCCTATAACGACAGGACTATAAAGTGTGTTTCAACAACCGAGTTGATCACACTGATCTCTCCTTACACTCAAGGAACAAAGACACTTGTAAGCCTCAAATGACACAACTTACTATAGATGTGCTTAGGAATTTTATTTCGGTGACTCTGGAAGGAGTCCAGTCAAAAAGCTCAGAGAACATGTACTGACACATCTGTAAAGATTCCCTCGTCTATGAACAAAAGAATCCTGAAGTAAATCTCAAAAAAAGAAACTAGAGATGCACAAGAACAACAAAGTAGTGATTAAAGTTGAAGAAATCTCAGTCTCAGCACTTCCTTCATTTGAATACCTGGTTTAAAAAAATTAATACCTTTAAATCTTCTCTGTAATAAAATTATAGACAAGAAAAGCTTAAATAACTTGCACTTGGATATACTTACAACTAAACTGCACCTCCTCTGTTACAATACATTTAAACAGAAATTACCTCCTTACAAAAAAGGTAATTCCCACTGAGGGCAGTAATATTGCTGCTTTGAGTGCTTTACAGTAGAAAAGTAATCATATGAACAATAATTAGGATAACCATTGTGGCAAAACGTTCTTGGTCTAGAATAGCCCTTCCCTCAATACGATCTGAGCTGTTCAAATTATTACTAATCACAAAGTCCACCAGAAGTTCAAACTAGTCAGTTATCTGGGACTACACCTTGTCATGTAGATGTTCTCTCACATGAATCACTACCAGCTTTGCTGCTGTGCCCCATCATAACACTGCCATAACAAGAGACAGGACAGAAAAGCAGCCATAAATAATTCACTAAGTACTGTAGGAAGCGCTGCTTTTTCAGCCATGGTTATTTAGCTGGATGAAGCTATGGGGTGCTTCATATAGACAGTGAGTGATGGTCCAAAGGAGCTGTAACACCAGCTATCTCAACACAGAAATAGGGAAGAAGTCCCTTTGCTCAGCACAGAGTGAAGAGGGAAGCAAAGTAAAAGAAGAGATTATATCACAGTTTACATTCCGGTTCCACAACACGTAACCTACTAAAACACAAGTAAATTTGGGCTTGGATAGAAGAAAATGTCAGACAGAACAATCTAAATATGGGAAGATTTACTAAAAGCTTCAAAGTTGGTTTAAAAAAAAAAAAAAGCAATTAATATAAATCTTCGAGTCTTAACAGCAAAAAACCTCATTGCACTTGTATCATTTTCAAGATGCCAAAGTTTGTGTGTGCCACATGCCTTTTTTTCCCCCCTCCCTCCTAAACCAAGGAAACTTCTAATCTTCTAATTCTACTATTCATGAAGTAGCATGGTACCTTAATGACACTGGCTGCAGATATCAGTGTGTTTGGATCCAGCACCTCCACGACAGCTTCAGGAATGACGGCTTTCTTCATGCAAGACATGTCGAAGCCATACACGTCTTCCCAGAAAAGCAGTTTGTCCACATGTTTATTCATATCCCCAACAGCCACCAGACTAATGGTGCAAATGTCAGGATAAACTGGAACAGAGAGAGAGCAGTGAAATTTTATTTTAGACACGCGTAAAGAGGACTTTTTTTTTTGCCTTTTTTTTTCTTTTCCAAGCGATTAACATCTCAAAAGAACAAACACAAGAACTTATTTTAGCTCTTGGATAAGACACTTTTTCTGCTGCTTTACTTTCTGGAGTTCCATTTGTCCTCAGGGGAGACTAGACAGTAAAATTTAATTTTCTCACACAACTCTGTTAACAGTATTTCCTATTCATCACAAAAGATCTTTCTTAAGAGTATTAAAAGCCTCTAAAGCCACCTACATTGAATTCTTGAACTGGTTTCTAACACCTTATTTTATTTTTTATGAATACATGAATGTGGCAGTGTTAATGAAACTGAAGTTAAGTTTCTCCTTTCCTCCCCCAAAATCTGGTGAACTGTAAAATTAATTTTGTCTTCTGCTCTGTTTAAAATTATAGCTTAGCAAAGTGGATAGGGTATGGCATGGTAAGTCAGAAAAGCAGTACCTTCTTAAAACACTGAAGACAGAAACAACAAATTGAAATTAGACCTTTTATACAGTCAGAGTAGTTTGTAGCCTAAAGGAAATAATCCTATAAATATTGATGACAGAGAATAGTCTTCTTTAAAGAAGCTTTATATAAAGACATGAAAGTAAGCACAGTCATCTTTTTCACTTTCTGACTGTTTAAAAAAGTATAAATAAACGCCAGCAAGCTTCAATTGGAATCCTGTTGGTAAGCTATTATCACCCCTACTTTGCAGCTGAGGAACCCTGAGGAGGCTTCTCCAGGAACAGCCTACAATTAACTCAAGCAGTAAAAAAGGCAGCTTGAGGAGAATCCAAACAGGAGGACATTCCACTGCTGTGGTTCCAGCACACCTGACAGCTGCCACACAAGCACAAAGCATCGGCATCTGCTGGTGGGAGGACCTGCAGGGAGTTTCTGGAGCCATCCATAAGGGATGCCTGGCTCTCAAAGCTTTCACTGGTGTAACAACTGCACCACACTTGGTTTCACCTCACAGCATTTCAAACTTCCGAGAGCCACCACTGATGCTCCAAAAATTAAAAGACAGTGTGACACGGACAACAAAAGCAAGTGACAACAGCCTCTGAGGGACTGCTTTTCAGGGAAATGCCTATGATGCAATGGCACAGGGAGAAGAGAATGAAAAGACTGGCAGTCCCTAGTTACAGAATACACCTGCTGGAAACACTGCAACAAAAATGAAAACCACAGTAACAAGTGATCAGCGACTTTATAACCTTCCTTTCTCGGACTAGCCCAAATTTCCGGGACATTCAGCAAACAGAAAAGAAGTTTATCACCTCTATCAAGCGTGAAATACTTGAGCTGGATCATAATCAGTTTATATTAAATCTCTTCGTTCACACAGCAAATCCTCAAATCGGCAGCGGAGCTCATGATCGATTGTACAATGTGCTCAAGAACAAGGACAACTGTAAACACTAAATGCTCCAATCTCATCTGCATTTTTACTTTAGTCTATTAATAGCGACAAAAGTAGACAATGTCAGTTCAGACCTCACAAAAAGAAACCTCTGTTCCACCAACAGGGCTCAGGCAAGGACTGCAGTGAAACATTAACTTCCAAATTTACACTCCCACCCACGTCCAGAAGCATATGCGACGCTGAGGTTTGACTGGAAACGTAAGCAGTGTTGTCTAAAATCAGCCTAAATCATCAAAACACTGTAGGGTTTTGTAAACGTTTAAAAGCATCTGCATAAAATTGCATTTGCCATTTCACCATTATCCTCAATTGCCCTGGAAATCCTCTGCTCTTTCTGCAGCCCTGTAACACTTCCCTGTGCAATCCTGACACACTTGCCTTTTCTTTTTTTTTTTCCCCCCTCATTCAGCCTATAATTTAATAATTATTCCTCCTTGCAGGTGAAATGAGCAAAATGCTGATTGGACAGAAGCACACACTCCTCAGAGCTCCCCCAGATTCATCGCTTTGACCATCTGTGTCCTTCTCGACTCGGTGCCCGCAACTCATCCGTCACCAGGAGCAGCTCACGTGGTGAGCAGGATACGACGGGAAATCCTTTATCCCTCAGCAACGCCTCACAAACTTCAGGACGCTGAAGGGTAAGGCAGCAATCCTCCAGATGCACAGAAATAACACCACGTGAAAACCACCATGGTTTTGATGTGAAGGAGCAAGCAATGTTACGTTTTGAGTGACCCCTCCCTTGCTGAGCCGCAATCAGGTGTGTGAAAAACCCTGTACTCGAGTAACAGCTCCAAAGAACAAACAGATGGGGGTCCTGGGCAGCAGAGATGTTGTGTTCCCAAATAAAGCTATTAAATACTGTACACATTACCCTAGACAGCTTGGCACGATCCACTTCAGCATGCCAACAGGCTAAATCGAAGTAATGACGATGTGACTGACTGAACACAAATGCAGAAATTTGGACTCTGCTCCCAGCCCAGTCACTGAGAGATCTGGCCAAAGTCACAGCTGCTTCTGTTGCTTTTTTTTTTTTTCAGCTTTCAAACCCCTGTAATAACGAGCTTGGGCTAATAGTACCAAGTGGCTTAAAACAAATTAAGCAGATTTAGGAGTTCCTCTGGTGAGACTTCGCCTCAGAGGGAGTTCATCTGAATTTGGATGTGCCCACAGTTCTGCTGCTGTTCATCTCCACTGGAGGAGAGTCTGTGTTGCTGAGCTGATTGCTGAGCAGCTTCCTCACAAACCCTGGACACAGCCACTGACCTGCTAGACCTGCTGGCAGCAGAGCAGTAATTGCAACCACCTTAATGAAACAGTGTTAGCGAAAATTAAAATGTGGCCTTACCAATCGGTGCCTGTACAACACTGTGTGCTTTGTGAAGAAGTCAAAGAAGGGCCCAAGACCATTCTCAGACCACAAAGGATTAAGTGTATTGCAGAACCAGCATGCCCTGCCTGCTCTAAGGAATCTTTGAGAGCCACAAACCAATAGCAAACTTACCAGCAATGCAGTTTAAACATAAGTCAAAAAATTCTGGCCCTTTTCAGAAGGCTCTGGAAGTAGCAGCTAAACACAAAATGATTCCTTATGACTTTAGGGAGTGTCCTTGCATTTAACTGTATCACAATGTAAAATTATCAGCATGTATCTATACAGAGCACTCAACGTGTTCCTGATCTGGCTGGACTACTCTACATTACTGTAAACAAAAAAAAAAAAGCTCTTACTCTGTCATGTTGTTCAAGTGGCTACTGAATATTCTAACACACCTCTTGCCTGTATATTCAGCTTTGTGACCAAATGCTGAACAACTGCACAAACCCCCTTTTTTCTGCTGCTCTCTGTAGTGTACAAAAGCCCGCTGCAACCAAAGGGAAGCACTGCAGCAAGCTCTGTGACACAGTCATTAATCCAATCATTAAGTCAGTGTAGTGAAACCGTGTGCATGGTTAGCACAAAGGGGGGAAAAAAAAAATCCCAGACTGATGACTGCGATTGAAAAGGTCAATATGAAATAAAATACTGACAAAGGAATCAAGCACAAGGAATAAAGCACGTGCAGAACTCGGGCAGAAAACGGCATCACGTGAGGAATTAATATTTACTGACACTTCAGCGGTGCTTCAGATGGCACTGTCTAAGCTACTTAACAGGGTAAGAGAACACTGCTTCAAAATAAACCCTTCTGTCACAACTATAAAGAAAAAGAGCGTATTACTACCAGGATAAACATGCTGAACTGAAATAATGTAATTCCAATAGTTATTTCACGTGGTCTCTTGTGTTTGAAACTGTGTCCTCCCCACCACAGCCTCCCTCCTCCAGAAAAACACCCTATTCATTTTTCCTCTAATCCACAGTAGCTTACTCAAACAGCATCACATCCTACAGGATAGGACTTATTTTCCTCTGTTCACAGTTATGCAGAAACTGGGATTTCGGGAGCGGAAAACAAATGCCCACATGTGCGTGGGAAGAACTAGGGAGGAAAAATTTAGACTGTACTTAAGAATAAATAAGCCTGTCTATTCTTAAAAACACCATTAACTTGAGACCTTGATACCCCATCTAATGTTCTTCTATTGCCCATACAGCAAATTAATGCCTTGAAGCTCACACTAATGAAAACATTTTTCATTGAGACTGGCAACTTTCTCATCCATGCATAGCTTATTCTAAAGCCTCTGAGTTCATTTAGCTTCTCCCCAGAGCTAAATTTATGAGAAGAACTGAGCACCAACCTGAGCCTCCCTCTGCCAGGTACTTGTCCTTTGCATAGATGACAGAATCCAGCATCGACTCGAAGAGAAGGAAATAACCCTGTTTATAGAAGAAGGGAAAGAATTTAGTATCATCTCTAATTAATCCCAAACTATAGGTATGTAGCACATACTAAATTAACAAACTATACACCATAAATATCCAATCTGCAACAATATTTACCTGAGAAGAGTCCGACAACATCAAAAGAAATCAAATTCAACTCCATCCAAGTGAAAAGCTGCGTGCATTGATTTTTTTAGTAATAACTGGGAGGTTCAAAAAAAACAAACAAACGAACAAAAAAAAAATCCCTTCCCCCTTAGAACTGCAAATAACACTAAAACTTATTGTCAGAGAAACACCAAATGCATCTTTGCTGCTTCACATTTGCAACCTCGAGGTGCCCTGTGTCACCCTGGGCAACGCTCACCAAAGCAGGTGGAAATAAACTGTGTACCAAAGACATCAGTTCTCTGGGTGATCGACATCATTTAGCAGCACCTGGACTTAACAAAAATTTCCAGCATAAAAATGGTTAGATCTAGGTTTGCACTGTAAGCTTGAGTGAGTCATTTTCTGAAACAGAAAAACATTCCTTAAACATCTGAGATATTAAAAAAACCCATATGACAGTATTAAATAAAATTAGCATTTTATAGAAAATATCCAGTTTCTCAACTATTTTTTAAAAAGCTGCAGATTTATTAGATATACAGCCTTTTGTTTCCCAACAGATTTACTGATTTTATACCCTTCCTGTCTTCCAAGTTTGACTATGATCCTTATTCTTACTCAATACTGTAAACATATTTCACCTACATCCCCAAAACATCTAATCCATTAAAACAAATACCAACACAGGTTTTGAATTTTCACTTAGCATCCTAATTCTCATTTTGCTTAAAACACAGATTAGCCACTTGATCAGGAAAGAACAAAATGGACAACTGAAGTCTGGACTTCGGGCCTGCAGTCCTACAAGCCCAGCCAGCAGTAACCTAACAAAGGAAAGCTAAGAAGTTGCACCAGGGAAATTTCAGATTGGATATTAGGGAAAATTTCTTCACTAAAAGGACTGTTAAGCACTGGAACAGGCAGTGGTGGAGTCCCCATCACTGGATGTTGTTTTTGCCTAAGACTATGGAATTAAAAACAAAACTGGAAAACCCAGAAAAACTTGACATATTCTTATTCAACAAGAATACAGTGTGAAAATAATGGCCACGTCCTCTTCTCAAACCGTTTCTCGTGGTCACAGGGCAGTGCTCCACTGGAAGCTTTTCTTCCAACTGTTGCCTGTTCCTCCACTGAACTGCCCAACTTCTCTAAGCCCTTAGAATAAGTCCCAGAATGAAGACTACTGCTTTTCAAGAGGCTTGTTAGTAAGCTTTGCTGAACAGCTGAAAAGGCCAGGAGCTCACCCAGCATCAGGCAGTGATTATTTGATACCTACAGCAAGCCAAAAGCACAGAATTGGAACCACAGTTTTCTTTTTTTATAGTATTATTCTTAGGGTTTTAAAAACACAAAGTGTTTAGCTAGGAAGAATTATTTTTAGATGCCTTTAACTGAAAATGAGTTGTTTTCACAGTATTTTAAGTGTAACTTCTAGGACATACCTCAAGACTAGTTAACACCGAGAGTCAATAACCTACAAAGTGATGGATCATCTTTTTATGGATCAGCTTTTTACTCCTCCTTTCTGCCCATCACCAATGTCTGCCAACCAAGAGCAAGAAGCAGAGCTGGAAGACACCCCTCTCCTCCTGAGAAACACAGAGAAACCCTCACTATCCTTTCCCTGACCTTTCCATAGGCTGGCACTGCTGGCTGCCCCCCAAATTCCCAGTTCTACCGTCCCCCGAACTCGTTCCAGCCTTCCTGCAAGTTACATAAACCACCAGTGGTACCAAATCATTTATTACCTGTCCCAAAGCTCAGCGTGCTGTGCTCCTCCGTGGTGTAATTCAGAATGCAATTTCACAGGCTGCTGCCCCACCTGTAGGGGTGGCCCCTGGAAAACGAATTACACCTGACACGCTTTTCCAGCGCTGCTGCCACCCCAACGACGCTCAGGGGGTTTGCTTTTTTTCTTAAGCTTGTATTAACATCCTCAGAATTAATTACTGCAAGGAGATCTCCAGGATACAAACCTAGGAGCTGCAAATTATGAGGACGATTTTGAATAGTGGCTAAGCTGAGACACATAAAAGGTGGCACTTTCTCTGTTAAAGGCAAACTGAACACACAGAACATCTTATGCTGCCATAATATGCATTTTCTACAAAAAAGTTGGCCATTTCCTTCTCAACTATACCACAACAATCTTGTACTTATTTTCATTTTAATTCAAAGCTGCACAAAAATATTTTGCCAGTGGATCAAAACATAAGTATGGCAAGTTCTTTTAACCTGAGTGCTCGGGTACTCATCATGATAATCTTTGTGGAGAAAAACAAATTAAGCTCTTCAAAAGCATCAAACAGTGCCATTACCATGTTTACAACATCAAGAATCAGGAGGATTTTTGGTACAGCAGAACATGTAAAGATAGAACTGAGAAGAAATATCTAACTACTTGAATAAGGGGTGTGTTTCCCCTCTGCCTTCTATCAAAGATGCATTTTATTTTTTTCAGTAACATTACTCGACCTGGTTTGGTTCTCCAGATTCAGCATGGTTTAATACTAAATATTTAATGAGATGAAAGGCCAAAACATTGGCCCAGAGGGTGGACTTTATATTTTTTAATCCCTAGTGGTACGAAAAAAGTGCATTGTTTGCCTAAGCTGAAGTTTCTAACTACAACATTCCCACTGGCCTACAGAGTGAAACACATTACATCATCCAACACAGATTGGACAAGAAATTATGATTTCAGACATAACATGCAATCTGGCATTAACAGGTACACATAAACTGATGTGGCCCACTCAACACCGTGAAAAATGACTTTTAACTTGACAAAATCTCCCCAAAAGCTGTGGCGCATTTAAATGACTAGCAGCAGCTAAACAACCTCTTCTGCATGCTCTGCTGCAAAACCATTTCCCACATGCTAGGTCAGCCTTCATGCTGATCTCTCATTGTATGATTTAATTTAAAAAAAAAAATAAAAAAATATTCATTACTGACAGAGCAAGCTCACAAATTTCAGAACCACAGCTTGACTTTGCCATTATGCACACCCTGTTGTGCCCTTAAACAAATAGGAGTGAGAACACCAAATGGGAAGATGTGAAAAGTGATATCCATTACTGGTGTTGGCAAAAAGAAAAAAAATTAAAGGAAATCAAATTCCTTCACAAAAACCATTTTGCTATAAAGAAAGTAAGGCATGCAGCTACTCAGTATGCTCTTCACATCAGAGTATTAAGAACACAAAAAAAGAAAAGCTCAATTCTCATGTATAGTTGTAACTGTTATATAGATAGGGCACTTGTATTAATATACCTCCAAATATTAAAACAATAGAGAATATTAAGACTACAGAATGAGTAGTGAGTGTTAAAGAAGTGCCATCACTGCGTATCTCATAGAAAAGGAGGAAGGAGAGAAAAGATGGTTTCCAGTGTTTCAGACATGCTCACTTGCTAGTCCTTTTCCCTAGATCCTGACATCCTCAGCCCATCCTCATATCATTTCAAAATCATCCAAAAGAAAAGAAATACAAAAAGAAAAGAAAAATGAGGAAAAAAAAATTAGCTATCTGATCAGAGATATGATTCAAAGACAAGAGTACTGGATTGCATCCTCGGTTTGTTTTAATCTGACAGTCCACCTCTTCCCGAGTTTTTCCCTGTAGAGAACTCTGCTGCATATTCAGTACCATAAAGCACTGCATAAAAAAACCAACCTACGAGAACACGCTGTACACTAACACTGCATTTGAGACAACCATCTCAAGCAATTGTGTCTCACAATAAAACCCCTCTACACACAAGAAATGCAGATACTTTTCGAGTGAGTAACTCCTGCAACCTTTGGCTCGGTAGTTTTAGAGAAGGGAAGCAAAAGCATACTGATAGCAAATAAAAAAATCTGCTCACAGATGCAGCTGTGCAGGAACGTTCCAGAAAAGCATCACATACATTTTGTTTCTTTCTGCACTCATCCTTTCAATAAGCAGCCTGTGAAGTTCACAATTTCCCTACCAAAATACCTAAGCGATAACACAGCCACCTTTTTTTGTATCTTTACAGCAAATATTTTCCTGCCCAGGTAATTCATGTAAGTTTACAGTTTGAACAACAAGTAAGGGATTTATTTGTAGGTGACCTATGGTATAAGCAGACAAGCAAGAAGATGTTAAAGGCTGGTACCTGTAGTCACCAACAATAAAATTCGTAGTTTCACAAATTAAGGCTCTGATGGTGCATCAGAAGCTTGAAGCCCCGACACAGAGCATCAAAGAATTCCTGTCAGGGAAACCTCTACAAAAACAAGGCCAGCAGGGAGATCTTTTTACACAAAGTTCACCCATTCTTACACTCAAATAACCATTCCCTATGAATTGAAGGACTTTCTCCTCACAGACCCAGTCTGGTTGTAGAACACGCTCTGACTCGGCCACTCAGAGAGAGAAATAAGGCAAAGTGGTTTATTTGGGTGAAGGGTTCCTCCAGTCCACCTGCTCTCCCCCTGTGCTCCTGGGTCCACAGCACACCAGAATCCCTTGTGTCAGGCTGCACACCGCACCAAGGCTTTGCTAAAAACAATTTACAGCTGTCCTGGGAATAGACAAGCCCAAATGGATGGCCCAGAGGTCTCTGCCAGTCCGACGGGCCCTCGACATTCAGCAATCTGCCTTCTGGACACCAAGAGAACAGCTCACAGCTCATCACACCTCCCACTGTGTCTGCCTGTGCTTTACCCACTGGTTTTAGTTGAACACAATCACAGAGATGTCCTGCTCACGGTCTGATTTTAACACTGTCAAACTTCAGGTGTCACAAACTGCATTCAGTACATTAAAACCACGATCACTTCCAATTTCTTTCACAGGCTTAAATAAAAAGCACTGAAGAGACAGCTGCTCATCACTCAGCCTCTAAACCTGGCACGTGACAAAACCATATCCAGATGGATTTAAAATGGGAAAATATTATTTTGGAAGATGGCAAATAAACATTTGAAATATAGGTTTCGACATATACACACATGCACTCACACCCACCCCCGTCCATTGTGTAACACTTAAGATGCTTCTCCCATTTTTCCATAGTTTAAGGGAACAAATTTAAAAATGAAAGGGAAGAACAGCAAGCATTTGTGAGTCATAGGTCACTTCTGCAATTAAGAGAATAAGCACCAGAAACCATTACACTGGAGATGCTCATAACGCAATGCTGCATCTTTTAAAAGGCATTGTTCTATGTGACATCTTTCTCAGGAAGCCTAATCCAAAAGCCATCCTGCAGAATGCAGTATTTTTCTTCTCTGTTGCCTCACACTTCTTTGATTTTCTGATTTCACATTTTCCGATGCTCCAGACGCAGCTCTAAAAAGGAGCCTACAGTGTACTGCTCTGCACCAAGCAAAACAAAGCTGTGGCTCCACAAAAGGGTTTGATGTTTACTAATCCAAAAGCAGTTTGTTTCCTAAACAGAACAGCAACTTTTCATATTTCTGTTACAAAGAAAAACAGCTGTTCTCATGAGAATTTTCCTGCCAGTCTATACGGATTCTCTACATAAAGAGCTGAAAACTGACATACACTGAACTCCTTTTTGCTCTCATGCTTCGACATTTCCCACATTTTCAGGCACTTATATTCACGTATTAACAACAGATTTCACACCGGGGGAGCAAATGAAAAAGCAAATTCACACAAGAAAGCCAGACAAAGAGAAATCTTCATCTGCACCCAGGCAACATAATGTTCCTTTCTGAACATTGTTGGAACAGTGTGTACACTGCCCAGCTATCAATCTTACTTCCACAGCATTGTCCTCTTTATCTCTGTATTGCAGCAACCTATAAAAATCCTAACATTCCTAAATATTTAGCAGAATGCCTAATTAAGTGAAATGCACATGGCTATGTAATTATGACATTAAAAGATAAATCAGCACTCAAATGAAAAACATGGAACATTCAATACTTCATTCCTTACAAGAGCTGTTTCTGAAATCCTCTACTTCACCTTAGAGGCACTGATTTACAACACGACTTCAGCTCAACTGCTCCAGTTCCTTTTAAAACCAAATCTTGGGCTCTAGAGTGAGAGATGGGATTTTGGGAACATTAATCTTGGTGCACACATTAGGCAACTGATCAAAAGGTTTCTCTGAAAGAACGGTAATTACATTTCTAGTGAAGGCACTATACTGTCAGAAATCACCAACCATAATGTGCTATTTTTAAAACCTTCCTCGAAACTAGTGACCTCAACACTAAACTAAGCTCAAGTTTCAAAGGTACATTACAGCAGTGGAGGTAAAACTGCAGATTTCCAGCTCACTGAAATACATAGCTTTAAAAAACAAACAAACAAACAAACAAACAAAACACACAGAAAAGGCAGAACAATTTATTATTGCCTTTTCCTGGAAACATATAGATAGATACATATGAATCCATAGTGAATACTTGACCTCTCTCCCAAAGGCCCTTGTACGTAGTAGAGTGGCCACAGTTTGTAAAAAAAACAAAATCCACCAAAGAAACAAGTAACTTTGAATGTAAGTTTTTGTTATTGATGTTAAGTTTGAACCAGAAAAGAATCTTTAAGTCCCAGAAGCTGGAATTAGCATGAAGAAAACCTGTATTCTGAAGTGCAGGTAGCAAGCACAAGATGTGTAACAGCTACCAGCCAGCACAGGAAAGAAAGGGAACAGGAAACATCTGAAATCCAATTCAGATCCAATTCCAATTCCAGGAGATGGCTCATTTAGACACTCTTGTCCATCCTATTTCTTTTGTACTTTTAAAATCAATAACGTTACTGTTACACTAAAATAAATGGTAATGAACAGTAACACTGTTTTCAAGCTCTGCCTCTATTTGCAGATTTCCAGAGTAAGCACCACACACCTCCTTACTGCCTTTCACTCACAGTCAGGACAGTCTTCAGCTGAATTTGCAGACTAAAGGTATTTTACTCATCAGAATGACGAGGCATTTTACTCATCAGAATGTATTATGGATGACTAATACAATATTTCTCCATTACTTTCACCTGAGCAGTGGTTGAGGAATGGAGGGCTTTAGAGATCTGCCAACCAACTACCTGACAGAAATTTACTGCTGCACCCAAAGCAGCTCAACTGTACTTAGACAACCTGGACTTTAAAGAGCTTGAACGAGAGAGATCAGAAATTGTATCCAAATACCACATAATCAGGACTGCCATCCCATCTCTCACATTGTCAAAGGCACTGCTGGAAGCATGACAGATGTTTTGGTTAAAAAAAAAATAGCATCACTTAAAGGATAACTTTTCAAATTAAATAAAACATTTTTTTTCCTGGAAATAACTACACCTTGAAAGGAATATTCATGCACCTTACCATCCATTCAGATATAATTACATCCACTTTGTCCAAGGGCAAATCTACTTCTTCGATTCTTCCTTTGACTAATGTAATAATATCTTCAAGTTTATTTAATCTGCAAGTCCAAACATAAACAAATTAGTTTCTATTTCTGATTTATGCTGTCAAGAGAGATGTACTGACATCTGTATTTCACGTTCCCCCCTCCCCCCTCAAATTTTTTTCTTTTAACTAATCCAGAAAGCAGTGGAACATAATATTTCTCAGTTTTATTTCAGAGGGAATATTTCCAAGCAGCTAAAAATGGCAGCAGATTAAGTGCCAGGCAAAGATGGCAGACTGTAGATCTGTATATACCTCCAACGTGCCACGCATGCAAATGTGTGAGCTCCACAAACCAGGAAAATAGAGAAGGGGACAATTTAAAAATGATGGTCCTCTCTATTCAGGAGTTGCTTGTTCCCATTTCTCCTCCTTTGACCTCTACAAAGTCTACAGCAATCAGAGCCTGCTCACCACACCAGGGCAGCAGTGGAAATGAGCTTCCTTACAAAGCTGTTTTGCACGACTCGGTTTTTTATTTAACCAAACCAGCTGCAAAGTCACCGAGAACAAACATTCCCTCTGGATCAGTATTTCAGCTATTCCACAAGAAAGGCACCCTCCCCAACTGTGATTCTGGGCAACAGCATCTGCAGTGTTCAGCACCTGCAGGAATCAGGTGTTACCTCACACGGATGTAATGGCACAACCATCCTGCACACAGAGGAAGGTTCTGTGACGAGACTACAGGTTTTGAAACAATAACTGCACAACACTGAAACTACTGAGTGTGTAAATGCTTGGAATCTGGTATTTTTTTCCTTGGCAAACCATATCATAGCCTTTTTTGCACACACCTTTATTACAAAGCCTATTTCTGCTCTTACAGAGGGCAGAAAAGTCTTCTCACCACGGAAATTTATCTTCCCACTGCAGTTCTTATCTCTGCCCCTTCCCGCCCTATCCTGATATCTTACTCTTACATTCTGTCTGGCTTTCAATGCAGACCAGTAATCACATTAAAAATTCAGTCTCAAAGACAATGGGAGAACAATCAGGATGAAGGGAGGGGAATGAAAGGGTCAAAGGGCTACTTGAACATGTGGGCTGTTGCAAAGATCAATTAAATACTCCACACAAGACAATCTTCTCTTAGAAGAGTAGCAGTTCATCACTAACACCATATTTAATGCTACGAACAGAAGTAAAATCAGAAGTTCAGAGTGAAAAATGAAATGTTAAAGAGCTACCACCCACAACAATAATTTAAGAAGGATAAGAAGAGATCTAAGGATAACTTCCTAAATGACCACAAACAAGGACACGATTTAAAACAAAAGAGAGGAAAAACATTAATTCATTACATACTCATTATAATGTTTTAGAAAAAAAACCAAACCAACCAAGGCAGTTCACCCATTGTAGGAAAAACTGCTGAGATGCTATTTAGGCAGTACACTTCAACTTTCTATTCTATCACAGCAGTGATGGATGACAAAAATCAAGTCATTCACTGCACTAGAAATTTTACAGGCACTGTTCATAGCAAGAAAAGGCAATCATATAGTTAAAAGGCAGTTTAAGGCTGGTCAGGCTACTTATTTCAGTTTATTTACACACAAGGGTTGCACTGTTTCCAGTAATTAACATGCTAGAAATTACCCTGAATTCTGGCAGGGACAAAAGCTCTCGAGCACATACTTGAACCACAGGTGGAAACACACTGCAATAGTAATTTTTAAGCCACACAGAGTTGTTTAGTATTCCAATAAATATTTGTTACTCCACTGCAAGCTTGTCAGCTTTATTCCCTCAGGAAAAGTAGGTTTAACCAGACAAACATAAATTGTTTTGACGTGAACTGGAGACTTTATTGTGAACAGAACTCTTTATAGCAGAAGGTACCTATAAATGTGCAGCCTCACTGATGACTCGCTGTGCACTTCAAGTGGCAATGAATCACTCTAAAGAGTTAAAGAGTTTTGATTCATTGTTTTTCTTAAAGGCCTGCCCTTCTCCTCACCACAGGTAATACATGTTGACTGGTGCTTCCATTCTCCCCCAGGTATAAACAACATTTAAAGGACTCTGTGCACCTGTTGAAAGATATGAACAACCCTAAATTTGCGATCTAGTACATTAGAAATAAAACCCTATTTCACAGCTGTAAAGCATTTCAGCCAAAGATGCACTTAGATGCTTAACATGGTACTTTCCCCAAACAGATATTTAATTAATAGAGTCACTTTATAGCATCCAGTGTGGTGGTGCCCCACAAATTCAGCCTAGACAACGTTACTTCTGTACAACTCAAGTTTGTATTACTAAAAACCCCTGTCACTCCCAAATTCCTCAGCATCTACCTGGGCTTTCCTTTTCACAGTTGCTCTTACAAAATCAACCCAAATAAAAGAAACCTACATGCCTCAGCTATCAACAGCACACATCCACACCCACATTTCTCCTACCTCGTGCTGCGAAACCCTTTTTAAGTCTTCAGATGTCATTGTTTCACTTCTACATATGCTCACAGTCCTCCTTAATATCCTCCACAGGTAAATTAGTGACATGTGGAGTGGATAAACGAACCATGAGAGGGACTGAAAGCTGTCTGTACCGTGAAGTTCAAGAGGTGAGAGGAAGAGTAGAAATCCTAACTAGTAGCCAAGTACCAGAGATGTCCCTCAGGGTTCAGTGCTAGTTCTGATACTCATTAACACTAATTAATGTGATATAAAGGGACAGAATGCACCCTCACCAACTCTGTGGTTAATGCTGAATTAGGGATGAGCAGTTGATAGGGCAGGGCTGTTATTTTCTATAACACAGACAGACTATAGAAATTCTAGCGATTATTTAAAATTCCCATATAGAAACAGAAAATAAAACAACTCTTTATACACACACACATTTGAACAACTTTCACTGAGTTTATCTAAACTGGAACTCTCTTTAACTCAAAGCAGTGCAGCCAGGTAAAGCTTCTCACATCTTCTCCATCCCCAGTGCTGTCGAAAAACTTCGTTTTATCAGTAGCAAAATTTAAAATGTAAGAATGGCAGATGGACAGGCAGTATTCAGTTGGAGCCCCTGCAGCCAGGCAGCACTGGCCCCATGGTACCATTAGGGGGAAGGTCTGTTTTAATTACCCCTGCCAAGGGGGCAAACAACTTCACAAAACACCAAAATCTGTGTTATTCCTTCGGGAAAAGAAGGGCTTCAACAAAACACAGACTGTGAGAGGTGGATCATTAACTAGCAACAGCATTTTAATAACTTTTTACAGTAATATTTACCCTACTTTTCTTGGAACTTTTCCTACCTAATGATGTCCATGGCCTGATAGATGATTTCAGATTGGTCAACTCCGATCACTTTCTTCGCGCCTGCTTTGGCGGCAAACATGGAGAGAATTCCAGTTCCACAGCCAACATCCAAAACCACCTGAAAGTCATAAAATGGAAGTAAAATCGTCTTTTTTTTAACTTGCTATGATTTTTCCATGCTTATTCCTACCTCAGTGAGATACCACATTCCAGCAGAAGGAACAAACAGCAGCATCAAGTTTTACTGTCACACGCAGAGATACCCAAGCCAAACTGCAGTCCTAAATCCACACCCTCTACCACCTTTCCCAGATGGAGAACTGAAGCAGATGAGCTGCAGATTAACAACCACAAGCAATTATCTGGGCAACAACTAAAATGTTACATGAACAGGACAAAAAAAATGGAAATTATGACCTTTTAACCACTGAATCACTAATAACTGAACTTAGCACTGGTACTGGAAGAACATATTCTAACTGCAGTTTTCATTAAGAGTCTATTCAGAAGTTTTATTTAGGAATTCTCTGCCAGAAATGGTCACACAGTGCCCCAAAACAGCTGTGCCTCAAGATGACTAATTTCAAAATGGTCACTGGCACAGTTTTAACAGCTGGAAATATTTTCTGTCCAGCAATGTTTGTTATTAAAATAGCACCAAAAAAATCCAGTAAGATTTCATGAAGGAAGAGTAAGCTTCGTCACTGCACCTGAAAAAGTACATTCAGCACAGCAACAAGAGTCATGAAGATGCCTGGGGTTTGGCATAGCACATATTACAGCTACTGTAGGAAGACTGAAAAGACACTGAGAAAATGCAAAGCAACTAAGAAAAGAGTACCAAATTTATTACTAAGTAGAGTTGAGCTGCCTTTAATGTTAAACTTCACACAGCAAGATTTTACCAAGTAGCCTTGCTGTCAGAATAGTGTATTTCCTCTACCTGCTACAGACTTCTCAACACTTTAAAACTGATCAATGTGTTACAGTAGATTTTTCAGTTGGGTTTCAGGTTTTCACCAAATCACTGAGGCCAAAAGGCACCTCTGGAGGTGCTAAGGGTGCCTTTTATTGCATTGGTCAGATCATCAGAGGTCTTGATTGTTGGAATTCTACTTAATGTAGTTAAGCTTTACTAATGGGTGTTAAAAAACCCTCAGCACTAAACCCCAAAACCTTCTGAAGTCTGAAAATCAAAACAAGTTTCCTAAAAACTGTGTATAGTCACTCCTATCATGTAGAGCATTTAAGCATTAACAGAACCAGAACTGCAAAGACAGATTTCCTTTTGAAATATGAGATTCTAACATGAGAGTAAGCACTAACTTAAACATTTCTAAGTCAACCAGAACACTGAGAATTATTATTTATGAGAAAGGAACACTTTCACCATCTCTCCTCTTCAGAGCATTCAGTGCTGTCCTCACACAGCTCTTGTGAAATTAATTTTTTTTTTTTCCAGAGAAGGAATCCAATTCCTCAATAATCAATCCCCTATTTGAGAATTATAAAGACCATTTTACAAAATGGGAGGTTGGCCAGAGATGGTGTGGGTAGAGTTACTCATTCCACTTACAACTCTTTGCAGCTACATTTCAGAAGGAGACAACTCTACAACTCAAGTTACGTTTGAGTATGTTATGGCTACAGAACTTCCTAGGCTGAATCTGCTGGAGAAAGGAATAGAAAATAAAAATCAATATCCTTGCAGCTGCTGAAATCTCTCCCCCCACCCCAGCATCACCTATTCTAACACTGTACCCAGGGTGGTTAACAAAATCACTGAGCCACGAAAGCTGGAAGTCAACAGCCAAAAATAAACCCCTGAGAAAGAATGATCTTGACGTGCAGTTGCATGAAAGAGAGCAATCACCACAAATTGGAAAAAAATCAAAACAGACACCACTTTGGACAGCTGCCCTGGTCACCTAAAAACCCAGATGGAGCTCATCTAGCCTGAGGCAGGGGATGGGGGTGGAGAAAAAGGCACCAGAGAGGAAAATATACAAGCTGGAATGCATCTGAGGAACAGAAAGACAAGCAGAATGATCACCAATTAGCCTAAGGACAAGGGTCTACAGCTCACACATTCTTGTGGTGATCACATATGGCCTCTCACCAAAGATCTGGAGCAGCTGGACTGGTGATTTGACTACACGATAATACACTGCAGCACCACATCCTTCTCTGCAGTGTAATCAAAACTGATACTCCACTTTAAATAACAGAAAAAAATTACTTCTAACTCGGGAAACCAGGAGGCTAGGTGATTTGGCCACCTAAATCAATTCCATCAATGAACTCTTAGTAGGCACAGTGTTTTAAAATCTCATTTTATTCCCTGAATACGGCACCGGTCTTACCTCAGGCTCCTATTCTACCACAAAAACTAAGCGTAGCAACACTGCTTTACAAAGCTACTTCTTCCACCCCAAAATACTCTCACTGTAAAAATGGACCACATTTCCTTTTAATGAGTATTTTAACTACTCCTGCTAGGTAATCTAAATTGTCCCATTCTCATCTCAAATACATTTGACAGGTTGAAAATAAAGGCAGCAAGCAGGATTCATACAAGTTTTAATAATTAATTTCAAGAGATGAGTTCTGAATAAAGTGTGCCTAATAAACAAATCTAGATATTCTGTTCCCATCTGCCACAGTAAAAAGCACCACTCTGCATTTTGCAGGGAGGAATACAATATGGGAGTTGTGGGAAATACAGTATCAGAATTTTACCCACTTCTTAAAAAAAAAAAATTCAAACTTCTTTGAAACTTTTTTCTTTAAGTTGGAAGTTACACTCGTTAATATGGTTCTGAGAGCATTATATGATACATTAATTTAAGCAAAATACCTTAACACTCCCTTCAGCAGTAGTCTAGATTTCTGGAAAAAAAAAAAAAAAAATCCCCTGTGTTCTCCATAACTGTGTAGCACGTGAAAGCTGCTTCAGTGTTTGGTCAGACACAGAAGTTAAAAACAGGGCACTGGTCACATGGATGGGGGTTTTTGGGTAACTCAAAGCAGTTGAGAATCTGTCTTTCAATTCAATCTCAACACACGATGATGGGTTTGAGGTGAACTTGATTAAAAAAAAAAAAAAAAAAAGCTGTAAAAACCATGTTCAGAAATCAGTTTGTAGGTGTTGTGATAACTGAGAAGGTTTTCTTCAGAGAAGTTGAATGCTTTCACAACACACATTCTCTCAGCTGCTTCTTGAGCAAATGCATCTACTGCAGGGGCTGAAGCAACACTGACTCTTAACAGTTAATCCATGGTTTGTTTTGAATGTTTCCAGTGTGTTCCTACAGTAGAGGAGAAATACAACCAATTCAGAAAAATTACTGTTCCAGGAGGACACACATTTCATGTAACTTCATATCAGTCTTGCCCTGTGAAAACCTGCAGTTATCAATTCCAGGGGCATCTGGGGAACTAAATTTCTCCCAGGAAAGTTTTCTTTCCTTTATTGATTTTTCTGCTTTGTTAGATGAGCTGCCCACCTGTGCAGTCCCCTGCATCGTTTAAGTAGATGGCAGTATAACCCTGCAACACTTTCCCTTATTCTCTCCTTGTAATTAAAGAGTTTAGAAATGGTTAACAGAAACAGGCTTGTAACACGAATTGAGACTAAAAAAAAGGGAGAAAACTATTTAGTAATTTTTTTCTGCTGCGGTTCCCAACTGAAAATTGAAGTAAGATACAAAAAAACAGGCACTATCAACCTCGAAATACCTCCTCTCAGGACAAAACTCTCTCTCTCTCACTTCTCCTACCAAGAAAGGCTGAGAGAATTGGGATTGTTCAGCCTGAAAAAGAGAAGAGTGACCTAAACTGCAGCCTTCCAGTACCTGATGGGAGCCTACAAGAAGGATGGAGAGAGACTATTTACAAGAGCATGTAGTGACAGGACAAGGGGGAATAGATTTAAACTGGAAGACAGCAGGTTTAGACTAGATATTAGGAAAAAATCTCTTCACTGTGAGGGTGGTGATGCCCTGGCACAGGTTCCCCAGGGAAGCTGGGAAGTGTCCAAGGGCAGGCTGGATGGAGCTCTGAGCAAGCTGGTCTATTGAAAGGTGTCCCTGTTCGTGACAGGGGGGTTGGAACTAAGTGATCTTTAAGGTCCCTTCCAACCCAAACCATTCTGTGGCTCTTTGAACTCAAAACACAGCAAAGCAACCAGCCAGGAGAAAGACAGAGGACAGGAAGAGGATCATAACTGTACGGGGGTCACAACCACTGTAAGGTCTTATCAGTACAATCCTCCTCACTGCAAGTGAATTACCAGTTCCTTGTTCTACGCCCTTTAATAACAACCTGCTCTGGAGACACTGAACAGCCCTAATTCAAGAAATCAGTTCCACGTGAATTCCCTCCCAGCCCCAGCAACACGGGGCTTCCAGGACGTTTTTATTGTATCAGGCACACACAGAAATTCACTCAAATTCTGGTAAAAAGAGGCCCTCAGAGAGATTCCACCTAATACACTGGACAGGAAAGGCTCAGCTTCACCCCCCTGCAACATTAATTAATGACCATCCCAACAGCACAGTGACAATGGCCATCACCACTGCTCTTATCAGCACTCTGCACCCTCCAGCAGCTCAGCAGCTCTCCACCACCTAATAAAGCCACACTACACTAAATCAAACCCTGTCACAGTGCCATTCTCCATTCCCAGAGCTACAAAGTAGCCAACCTGAGGGTTTTCTACTGTTTGAGGGGGGAAAAATAAGACAGAGAAATTACTGTTTTCTGAGCTGTTTTTACCCACCTTGTCCTTGAAGATGTGTGGGTTTTGATAGATGAAGTCACGATAGCTCTCTGTACGCACCTTATCCTGTTTTTAAAAGTAAAAAAATGTTCATTTTTTTTTCACTTAGGTACAGCATGTCATACAAAAATACTGAAAAACTCCTTTTTAACTTGGCCTAAAGATGTTCTGTGCATACTGCACTTACAAGGGCTCTGCAATCAGGACACTGGCCATGTGATATCACCTCAGAATTTACTGTCTGTGCAAATGAAGCCAGCTGGAGGAAAAATAAGAAATCAGCTCATGGTGTCCTGACCTGCTGCTTTTAATGTTGAGTGTTTCAAAGTTCTTAATACCTCTTCACCACTGCCCAGGAACAGCAGAGTGGCAATACTGCACCAACTTTACATAACAACCTCCCCTACAGTTTGAAACATTTGAATCACAAGCTCATAAAACGTTTTGTGTCATTTTATTCTCTGACTCTCCTGTGACACAAGAGATTTCTTTAAACAAAAAAAGTTATGCATCAAATTAACCTGTTCTATTTCTGAACAAACTGCAAATTTGCAAACCTCATGACAATCTAGTAAATAAAGCTGTACAGCCCATTCTACAAAAGTCAATATAGTGAATAAATTTGACTGTAAATTTGGTTGGAGAAGCTGGAATGTTTTCAAGCACAGAATGAAACATTTATAGTATCTTAGTATATCAAAGGTAGCAATATGGCTTAGTTTACCAGCAAGGTAATCTATTAAAACATCCATTCTCTTACCATGCATCACCAGGTACACAAACTGACAGCCAAGTATTGGCTGTTGCAGTTCAAGTCTTACAGCAAAGTAGAAAAAAATTTTCAGCAATTTTTTTTTTTTTTAATCTAGTGCGAACAATGCTGAAGGATAAAATCCAAGTGCTTATATTAGATCTAACATTTTTCTACTACGGCAAGGTAAGAATTTTTAGAAACAGTAGAGAAACAAAAGAAATTTTTCACAGTGACAAAGAATAAAGTCTATTTTGATAGAAAATTAGGATCAAAACTAGTGACTGAGAACAAAGGATATGCCAATAAAAAAATGTGGAGACAAAAAGAATTATTCTGAGGCTTGAAAATTCTAAAATCCAGTTTTAAATGTAAAGGTATTATCGCACATGGCCCAAAGAAACAGGGTTAATTTTAGAAAATTCTACTTTAAAAGTATACATCATTAATGAATAAAAGAAACTGTGATCCTTGAAAACCACATTGGTTTACTATGATGTTACATTCAGAGCAACTATTTTTAGAGCTTCAACTCCACTGCAGCACATCACAGGGTTTTGCTGAAACAATCAAAAAAAAAGTTTAAAAATAAATAATCAAAACTGGAATGTTCAGCACTGAAGGATGTTCAGATGGAGAAAGCAGCCAGCTGGAAATCTTTCAGCCTTACATCCTGCCCACTCCCACTGCCTCAGCACTGCCCCAGCTGATTCAATACAATCCGAGCTGCTGCCTCCAGTCAGTCCCTTCAGGTGTCTCTGTCCATCAGTCCCATTCTCTCACCAGACATTTCCACGTGATGCTTTTTTTGTTTAGTTTATAAGTACAACGGTGAGAACATTTATTAAGATGGCAGGCAAGAAATTCTTGAGAAAAAAAAAAAAAAAAGGCAGAGCAAGGGAAACACTTGCCACTTGGCCAGCGTGGAGTAACAACGTTCTTCCTAGTGTTTGCAGGAAAAAACCCAACCCAAATTGCAACTTCATCCTACCACCACCAGGCATAAAGAAAATAAAGGTTCAAGGCTGAACAATGTCAGAAACAAGATGTACAATTCAGACAGCAAAACTCCTTTCTTAAAAATTGTCACGAAGCAAGTCACTACATTTATGTAAATAAGGTAAACATGAAAAGAAAAGAAAAAAATCCAAGTGAATGCCTACCACACAGGAAAAATTTCAACATATACACAAAAAAAAATAACTGGTTTTGTAGGCTTTGGAAACTCAAAAGTCTTCCTGAAAGCTTTCTGAGAAGCATACCCCAACATCAATACAACACAATTCTGTGCCAATCTCCTTGTGCAGAGATGTAGATTTATTATACACTTTATTAGCAAGTAGAAAGGTTTCCTCGTCCTGTAGCCTGTAACATCTCAAATGTTGGCTTTATATCGCTGCAAAATCCCAAACCCATCACTTCTATCTATCTTTCAAGACTTCAGTTATATTTCCACAGACTATACATTTTGGAAAACATCCTTCTATTTCTGCAGCCATGTCTGTGCTCCTGTAAAACCCCTTCCCCTTAATATTAACCTCATGCTTACACTATTCTTACCACAGATTCACATGCATTTCTACACTGGGCCCACTAAATGATTCAGAAAGCTGAAAACTTTCTATGCTAGCTGCAGGTCCAAAGTCACTTCACCACTCTGTATTCTGCCTTCACATTAGACAGAAATTTGACTTAATTCTGGCTTAAAATGATAAAACTGTTCATAACTTTCACAACGATGACATCTTCTCTGAAAGGAAGCATTAAGAGATTTTCATTTACATGACAATTAGAAGCTATTGGGCTATGTGTTTTTTTTTATTTTAAAGTTAAAACAGGCTTGCCTTTGAAAAGTTTTATGCATTAATTTTATCTTAATCATATAAAAGGAGCACACTTCTTTTTTCAGCTGTTCAGTGTCATGTTATAATACACTGAACCAAGCATAAGTACCAATTTCTGTTTACCTAGTGCAGTAGGAAACCACAATATTTGAGAAACGGTTTTGCCTAACAAATTCCAACTGTTAGGAGAATTTAAAACTAAAGAAAAATATTCACTGCCTGTTCTATGTTTTATCCTCCACCTTTTAAACATGCAGGAAAAAAGATGCTTTTGGCAAGGTCAGGCTGTGCTACTGTAATATCAAGCATATCTGCACATGATTTCATGTACCTAATGCCTCCCATAAACAGAATTTATACAGAGGAAGTAAAACCGGAAAAAGAGATCTCTCAGCCCAGTTTTTGTGGGGAAAAAAACCTACCCTGGACAGAAAGGGTTAAAAATGCAGCTGCTCTGCAGTATATTTATGGGCACACAGCCCACTTCATCCTCTCTCCTACTAAGAGACAATGTCCTGCTAAGATGCAGGTGAGACGACTTTCTAACCTTTAGCATCTCCTCGTGTATCCCATAATGCCCATAGGAGCTGAAGTAAACACCATCCTCATCCTCCTGAAGGTCTGCAATGGCACTGGACGACGAGCTGCTCCTGACATCTGTGCTCATCACAAAATCCTGGGCAAATTGTCTGTAATCAATTTGAAATACACCCTTGAGACGTGTTTATGGGACCGTGAAAAGGAGGTGGGGAGGGGGTGGAGGGGCGGGGGTGGGAGAGAAAGGGCTTGGAAGAGGGAAGGAATCCAGGCTGCTCAGGGGTTTGCCAACAATGGGCTCGGCTTTAGGTGTGCACATCCTCCCTCTGCAGGCTCCTCCGGGCTGCTGCACCACTGCAATCCCTGCTTTCTGCTTACAGCAAGCCATTATTCACGGTGGAACACTGGGATTTAGCTTCTATTTTTAAGGAAGGTTTCTCTGTGTTTTGCTCGCTGGCACCAGAGGTGCTCAAGGTGTTTCAGGCTGTGTGGTGCAGATAGGGACTCAACACAAACACCACAAGAACTACAGCCCACACAACAACCGTGTGACCACTGGGAGGTGGAAGAAAGCATTTTAAAACCGAGCGTGTGGATGAAAGCAAAACAGAGCTTAACGTTCAATTCAACACTTTAATTTCACTCTGCTTATTTTTCCTCCTCCGTGGTCTTGCATGGATTGTGCAAGCCTGGAGGAAAGAAAAGGAGGCTCCAGAGTGACCCTACTGTAACCTTTCAGCACCCGAAGGGGCTGCAAGAAATCTGGAGAGGGACTTTGGATAAGGACATGGAGTGACAGGACAAGGGGGAGTGGCTTTAAGCCGAAAGACAGTAGATTTAAATTGGATATTGGGAAGAAATTTTTTACCATGAGGGTGGTGAGGCCCTGGCACAGGTTGCCCAGAGAAGCTGCAGCACTTCCACACCCTGGAAGTCTTCAAGGCCAGCCTGGATGGGGCCCTGAGCAACCACGGCTGGAAGTAGACGACCTTTAAGGTCCCTTCTAACCCAAACCATTCCATGATTCTGTGTTCCCTTATTCCTCAAAGCAGGTTTGATGACAAAATACCCAAATCAAGGGTTTTATAATAAAACACAATTAGAGGTTGACAAGCAAACAGTTCATACTACACCCTCAAGGAAGTGAAAATCCTAACGTGCTTCAGCCAGACAATATTCCTCCAAGCTCTACAGCCCAAGAGCAACAAAACTTGCACCCTAAACCACCCCAAGGCCACCAACACTTACCTTTAGCCGTGATAATACTTTCTCAAATGGGAACTTGACACATAGAAGCTGTAGGTAACACCTTATTACCAGTACCATCTTTATAGAACACCACAACCAAAAAAAAACTATTTCACTCCTGGCATATCAAATACCTCTCTGCTCAACTAGTTTGGGTGGAAGAGAGAATATGGTAAGGGAATTTGTACTAAAATTCTGTCAGTATCAGAAACTTTCTATACTTGCCTGTACAGGTCTGGATCTTATTTTTAATACTGCTCTTTACTGTGGCAGTTTGCATTTTCCTTATTTTTAGATAAATATCTAAATGATAAAAATTTAAATTTAAAAAAAACAGATTCTATGACATATGATTAAGTATAATGAGCACTGTGTGAGATTTAAATTATTTTAGAGTTAAAATTCTTTAAAATGGATTCAGGTAATAGTTCCTCAAGCTGACGAAGGCAACAGAAGCACCAAAGAAACTCTAGAGACAGAGCTGCCCTCCAGTCTTTTTAATCAAGGAAAAAGGTAAATAAAGACAAAAGCCATAACCTCTGAACAGGTGACAGATTAAAAAATTCACCACATACAAGCCATGTTCTTATATCTTAGTTATACCTAGTGCCAGAGGAGAACTGATTTACAGAACTGTTACCATCTTTATTTTGCACAGGTTTACCTGAAAATATCTGCAGATGGTCCCCTTCTGTGGAGGAACCTCCAGCACAAACCAGTATCACAGTGAATTACAGCACATTAACTACTACAGTGCAACTGGTTCATCTGTCCATAATTTAAAGCTGTGCTGCTTCAGCAGATCTACATCTGGCTACTTCTGCTGCCAGACAAAGGAAGAGGCTGCGCTGACAAAGGAAAATTAAAAGGTTCCCTCTTAAGGGAGCAGGTAACTTGATATATTAACCTCAGAAAAATAATAAAAATCTGTAAGGCTGATTAAAGTTTGGAGCTCAAAAAAAAATCACTGCTGATGACTTGAAGCGGGTTTTTTGTTTTAAATGACAACGAATGGAACAAGAGGAAAACAAGAAGACACACAGGAAAAAAAAAAAAAGGCCAAGTTTTCAAAGCACAGTGCCAAATTTCTTTCATTCTTACTGTTTATGATCGATTCATGCATAATGTACCCAGAGGTATCAGAAAAGCACGGTGTGGTACGAAGTACAATTTGCAAAAGGCAAACCCAACTGAAGGCAAACCTCCCTACTTTTTAAATAAATAATTGTTCCCAGCTGAGATCTAAATACATTAATTTCTGTTGGTCTACTTAGTCACTTATAGCACCAAGTGTGTAATATCAAAATGTACAAACTCTCAGATGTATTTTACAAAACAAGGTTTTTGCCGATTTCCTCACGAAAGAACATGAATTATCTGTCCAAGTCTCCTAAACACAACTTCAGTTCTTCAGTGCCCAATCAGTGTAATCTTGAAATGGCACGTTTGTACAGGATTTAATCCTACGTGTCCCATTTTATCCATGAGCATCATCAATCCGTATTTTGCAGACCTCAAGACTAGAAGTGGCCTGTACAGCTTCGGGGATGTCCTCATTCCTGACTGTGACGAACTGAATATTTTTCCCACACCTAAGACTGAAAAGTAGCTGGAAAATGCTGATTTATTAATTTCACTGAGAGTTTCTCCAAGCTGTAAGTGGACTCTACCACCAACAACCATTGTTTGGAGAAAGTCTGGCAATGTCTACTGACCCTCTGCAACGCACAAGCCAAACCTGCAGTCCCAACGCCGAGTCAAGAGGTTACCGTCTACTACATCCCTGAATTTCTACTGTCTTCTCACCTGAAGCACACCAAACAGGAACACCCCAAAAACTTCAGTTCAAACACTTACTTCATTTTCTGAAGATCCTCCTGTGCTCTAGCCAAGGCTGCCTCTGCGGCTCTCGCTCTGCGTTCTGCGTGTTTCAACTGCTCAAGGAGCGCCGTGGTATCACTGAAACCATTACAGGGCACAGCGTTTGCAGGTTCACAAAGATCTTCTATATCTGATGAAATGAAGAGGGGTGGGGGGAAAAGAAACCACCTGCCAGTCATGTGTTGCTTCACAGGATATCATAAACATAAAATGGTATTTCTGTCTTCGGATGATTTGCAGAAGTGGGTTGTTTTACAGAAGAATTTAACTGAATTTAACAGGACTAACTGCAGAAACAATGCTACTCAGAAAAAGCAAATATGCTAGAAGCAAGCTCTGAGTCAATAAAGCAAATAAATCCCAAATTCGGGCTTCTTTAAATACCAGTGTTTGATTATTCATAGAAGAGACGTTTGGCTTAGAGTACAATTGAGTTAATTACAGTTCTATCCTCCATTTTTCCAATCACGTTATTCTGAGGCCAAAAGTGCCTCTTTACCATAGTAATGGTAAAAGGTAAGAAATTACATAAATTTAAAATGTCTTAGTAATTAGACACTGAATTTCACTAAAAAACCCCCAAATATCTACTCTTTTTAATCATGGAAGACTATTTGAGCCGTGGGACTGAAACAAAGCATCCAATATTTCAGAGGTTCAGCTCACCCTATAACCCCTAAACAACTGCAACTGGCACCTCAAAGCACCTCTAAAGTCGGCCAAAGAGCAGAGCAGGAGCTGATACAGGGAAACGTGAACGCTCTGTGAAGCAACCAACCCATGTCCTCTAGCAGGCACCATCTCTGCTGCCATGGAGCAGGGTTCACTTAGAAAGGGGAAAAAATGCATTCCAGAGTGTAGAGAGAAGAAAAAAAACCCACAAGCCTTTATAAGTACCTTATGGTTTAGCTGAAAGATGTGCAGGTGTGAAATGGAGAGCGGGAGGATCGCGGGCAGCAAAAATAATTCCAGAAGTCAAACTGAATTCTTTCAAGAACATCTGACCAAATGTCATGAGGGAGAAACTAAGGCTGCCTGTTCTGATCCCCAGAACCACGAAAGAATCAGGACTTCTGTAGTATCTTACACTGGGTTGGTCCAAAATAGAACTCGTATAAAAGATTTTTTTCAACAAGGCAAATTACTTGTGGCATACATTTCTGAATGAATGAATGAATGAATGCATCAGATTTTAAATATCATCTATTTAAATATCTTAATAGCGTGGAGCTTTAAAAAGCTTCACAAATCTCCCAGCGAAGCTTGGGTGGAACGTCTCTTTGACCAGCATAATTACTACACAGAGCACCTCTGCTATGACAATTTGCTACAATAAGCAGATAATAAAAAAGAGCTGTGGAAATCTCAGTCACTAAAAATCAATGCACAAAATGCAGTAAAAATATCAGAGTGCAACTGACTAACAGTGACACGATCTCTGACAAAACCTCATTTACCCTACAGTGCAGTACAGCCATACTGAAACAATACTTACCAAACTGAAGGAGGAGATCATCTTCTAGTTCTGGTTTGAGATATTCCTCTCCTTCCCAAGGCAGTGGACTGCTGAGAGAACTCAGATACGCTCCTGTTGGTTTCTAGACAGGAGAAGAGCACGTGAGGTAAGTCTCTTAGAAAACACCAGCCCTTCAGTTTCATTCAAGAAAAAAAGGCAAAACCCCGTTCTTTCACCCTTTTAAAATATACAGGGTGTCACTGAAGGAGCTTTGTAGCACAGGCTGAGAAAGCCCAGGCAGCTACAGCATCAAGGAGTTCAAATAAAGTACTGACAGACATTGAAGGACACTGGCAGTATCCTCTCCTGTTTGCATCCAGCCAGTTAATACTTAGTCAAGAAAGAAAAGATGAGATTCTGGACTTCAATTTTTGCCTTCCTGTGTTTACTCTGCATAAACAGTTATGCATTAAGTAACCATTTGAGGATTTAAGTTAAAAAGTGCTTTACAAGGTAAGATGGTATTAAGTTTAAACCTAAACTTCTAGGGAACAACCAAGGAACATGCTTCAAAGTCACAGAACACACAAAATATACCCAGGCCTATCTTAAAACTGTAGGTTCCCGTGAGCTTTCCTGATTCTTGGCATCATTTTAGCAGAGATTAAAGTTCTGTAGCCTGAGGGATCAGGTGTTGTCCTTACTACGTAGGGGTCTGGCCAGCTCACACCCTCAGGAAACACTCTTTTACACCAACACACAGGCAAGGACTGAGAAACTTCAATTATTGAGAAGCGAAGCCACTTCTGAAGCAAGACAGCCAAGGCCAAGACAAATTAACAAAACAAGATATTACACAGCACAGAGGCTTTTTGCAAGCCTGAACATCCTGTTCTGAAAACAATAAAACTCACATATATTAAGTACACTTTAAATTAAAACAGCCTCGTATCTAAAGACACCAATCAACAGCTGTTTTAATTGCTGCGATTTCTTATTTCCAGAACCACAGCACAAAATCTCGTGCAGTTATTAAAAAAGGGCAAACTGAAAGCACAGCACCTTGACTCCCTATTCTCCAGACACAGATTACAGAAGCAGTATGGAGCACACCTACCTTTAATCTGATGAAGTTGATTAGCTTAATGTATCCATAAAAATCGAGTCCTAAGAGGAAAAAAAAAGAAAGAAAAAAGGGAAAGAGTTTGCATTACAGAAAAGTACACATACTTTACAATTAAACGAATACTAATTGCTTGTTCAAGTGGCCAGCTTCCCCTTGCCTTGGGGTGTACATCACTATCTAGTGCAGTATTCCTATCTTAAGCCTGTCATCTATGGTTTTCTTCTCCTTAGGATTAAACCAGGAAATTCTCACCCTCAGGACAAATACATTTGCCACAAATTAAGAATGGAACATTTCCAACTGGGGACTATGAACAGGGATTTCATTCATTTGGCAAGCAAGTCCTTCAGGACAGCCCTGCTGATATTTTAGGCTCTTGTTCATTTTTAGCTTTCTGCTTAACAGAATTTAAATTGGTTCTACTCATCAAGAATACATACCAACATTGATTTAAAATTGCCACCTAGGCAGAAATAACAGTGGTTTAAGTATAAATAAGTACTCTCCCCAACAAGAGCAAAGATAAACCCAAAATATTTACCTTGGATTTTAGACAGAAAACAGAGCAGATCTTACAACTTCACAGGCAGGTTTCTAAATGCCTCACATAGTTGCCATCCTCTCATCTCACACGCTCCTTTTCAGCAAACACTCTTAAAGCAGCATTTCTCCAACACTCTTTGCCTTCCCCTGCTTTCCACTTTTCCTCTATATGCACTAAAATACATATTCCAGGCTCAAGTCGTGAAAAAAAAACTTACCATGTTTCTGGATCACATCACTAACATTAAACTCGTGCTCTGTTTTGCAGTGGGAGAACACAACTTCAGCAGAACTGAACCACCTGTAAAAAACAAATTATTAAACGTGCAATATCAACGCATTTAGGAGTCCTAATTTCTGAGTTCTCTGTGCTCTCTTCTGACCTGCTAGGCAATATATTCAGAACACAGGTTCCCCCTCATTCATGTGCCTCACAAAGAAGCTTTCACCTTGTTTACCAAACATTTTGAAACAAAAGACAATAAACAGAAAAATTTTGTTTGACAAAGCCACAAAGCCCGGCGAACTTTCAAAAAAACGCCTGGAGAGCAGAGGCTGCGTTAAAGCTGAAATCTAAGAACCACATACAGGAGGTGGGTGGGTCGGCTGGATCTGCTGCATCCAAATAAAAATCCTCAGCTATTTACTGGCAATGAGACAAGATGATGTTAAGGAGAAGAAGAGTTTAAAAAAAAGGAAAGAGAAAAGCCTCCACACTGCTCCAGGGTGAGGGGAGGGGATTACTTTCTTTTCCATGTTATCCTCTCCATCACTCTGCATCAAACACACCTTTGGCTCAGTCAACAAGCTTTAGCTTAAGAGAGTAAGTCTGGGACCTGGAGCTGAAGTGGGGCTGGAAAGGGCTGCCAAAGGGAAGTGTGGGCTGCAAAACAGAACTTTTTCATCTGGGCAGGGGCAGGTTTTGGTTTGTTGGTGATTTTATGTTTGTTTGTTTGTTTTGGGGGGGGCATTATTTGTTTGGGGGATTCGTGGTTTTGTTTGTTTGTTTAACAAAACCTCCCCCTGGAACTCGGGTAAGGGCTGTGTTGGGAAGTACAGGACTCAGTCTGTTACACACACACACGCGTGGTTATACCTCTACAGAAGCGCCTCCGTGAAACGCGCATCGTGGAGCAGCCTTAAGGGACGCGGGGCGATTTCAGATGCCACGGAGCACGGCTGAAACCTGGGATGAGTTACCTCCCTGGCGTGGCTGCCTGCCGCGAACCCAGCCTGGGCCCAGCTCAGAAGAGCCCAGCTCAGCCCAGCCCACCCCAGCCCAGGCGGGCGCACCGAGAGCGCACCGCGGCGTGTCCCCCTCCCACCTCCCCACCCCGCGCCTGCTCCTTACCCATCGCAGAAGAGGCAGCGTGTCCTCTGCCCCACGGCAGCGTCGTCTTCTTCTTCCTCCTCCTCCTCCTCCTCCCAGGGCTCCTCGCCGTCGGACAGCGCGGGCATCTCCTCATCCCGCCCCGTGTCCGTCTCCATCTCCATGTTCCGCCCCCCCCCACCCACACGCGCGGCGCTTCCGCCCGCGGCCGGCGGGGCGGGGCGGGCGCCTCGCGCGCCCCCTGGCGGGGCCCGCCGGGCATGGCGGGCGCTGAGGGAGGGACGGGCCCGCCCCGGCGGTCCGGCCGTGCCTTTTTTAACGTAGCTTTGAGCTCTCGTAGCTAATTTTTTTTTGCTCTTTCGGCAGTTAGTCTGTTTTTTGTTTGTTTGTTTGTTTTGTGGTGGTTTTTTTTTTTTTTTTTTTTTTTTT